GAATGAATCAGTGTTTTAGAAATAAATAAAGATAAGTTATCAAATTGTGAATAAAAATTGAAGGGAAAAAAAATATTAGATCTGCTTTGACGTAATTTGCAGGATGCGTAAACACTTTTCCTGGTGCCTTTTGAAATATGAACATATATATTTTTAAAAATATTTTAAAAGTCAGCATGAAATGAAAATCTAAATGCATGATATAGACGTCATTGTGAATGATTTGCGCTTGTAGTTTAATTTTCTTTTTCTCAAAGCTTGTATCTTAAGCTTGAGCAAAAGTAATGATTATGAATATGTCAAATATAGCAAGGAGATATTTTAATTGTTTATTAATAAACAGGTGTTTTCTGTGTCAGTGTCGGCTGCAAAGATGAAGTTGATGATGCTGACTCCTGAGTTGTGAATGCGCTAGAGAGAAATGCACATTTCACAGTCTGTTTTCTTTAGTTTTGAATTGTTCTGTTTAAAAGTAGATGTTTGTGAGGCAAGTACGCTAATTTTTGGTTCATTTATGAGACAGCTCCAGTTCATGTGCCGGCGCCTCCGTGTCGTGATTATCTATTGTCTGCTATAGCCTATTTACCTCTTATTTATTGAATCCAGGCAATTGGTTGATAAAACATTCATTACACCATGGCCATGTCCGTAACATTGTTTTTCCCTTAGAAATGTGATTACGAAAAATAAAATAAAATGAATATTTTATGTTCTGTGGAAATCCAACCCTTCTTTATCCGGTGGGTAGTATTACTTTTGGTGTGTGCAGTGTAATTCACAGAAGTACTAAAACAATATTTGTTTGTGTCATGCATGTTTATTTCCCTCATATTAAATACAAAACACATGTGTAGAAAGATATTTTTCCTATGTCTTGACTCCTTTATTAAGGCAGCATGGATATAAACAGACGTTTCAATATATTGGTATTAAATGCATTTTCTAAGAATTTATATTTTAAGTTTTGCCAGCAAATGTCACATCCATAATGCTGGAATTGCCCAATTTTAAAGGGATAGTTCACCCTAAAATGAAGATTCTGTCAATAATTACTTACCCTCATGTTGTTCCAATCTTGTAAGACTTTCGTTCATCTGTCACAGATGTTGACAGGTTGATCATCACAGATCAACTTGTCACTCACATGACATCACAGCAATAGCAAACCAGAACCATCCAATCATTTCCCGTTGGACAAAATCAAGTCCCCTCCTACTGTTTTTTTTTTTTCCAGAAGCCGTTTCACTTGGATATATACGTCACAATAGGGAAGAGAAGTTTTTTGCATTTTTCGCTTCAAGACGACATTAAGCCCCGTCCACAATCGGTTCTAATGGAAAACAGAAAATGATCCTCTCAGCAGAAATCCTGCTCTTCTTCTAACAACATCACTTCTGTTGAAAGTTTTCTGTCATGCCGGCAAAAACTGTTCTACTACCTGAACCACACAGGGGAAGATGACAGCAGATCTGTTTAATTGCCATGTTCACAATTCCAGGAACTGCTGTGCTAACGCATAAGAGAAATGAAAGTTGTTGCATGCTTGGCTGCATATTTAGAAGAATAATGGGGTTTTGTAATTTTCTGGTTTATAAAATGTCATGCATGTTGGGTGGGAGGCAGTGCCGAGGCGATCGCACAGGTAACAATCAGTCAAAGCTAATTTTGTATTTGTGCACTCGGCTCATTGTTCAGATCTGAATGCCATTATTATAAAGAACAAAGCCTGTCCTTTCCAACAACTGAGCTTTATCATCAGACCATGAAACAGCGCTGTAGTTACAAGATTTGGCTGTGTAGCTATGTCTTTGTTAGGGAGTAACTGAGAGAAATTACTTTGGATTGTGTCTTTATGTATTGTAGATGTTAAAAAAAAGACTGCACCTTTTACTGCTGGTTCTTGATTATGACACGTCCTGCTTTCCAAGATATAGTCATCATAAGTCTGCTGATTGCAGAATATATTAAGATTGTTTTCTGAGAAGAATCGAACCACCCACACGCAAGTTATTTCTAAAGCCTGTGGTTGCACATTGTCTTGAACTGCAGAGGTTGGTAGGCAGCTCAACGAGTATTGACAGAAAGACAGATGGAAACAGGGGCCCAATCTGCCTTATGTGCATGGCCTTAACTGAATACCACTGTATGCTGCATGACCACACCAATAGCACCAGCAAAGTGCAGCTTTTCACTTGGAACAAATCTCCCTGACAGCTGACAGGTCAAACTAAGAGACTTCTGTGGAAAACTTTCTTCTTCCTCTTCCTTATGGTTGCGGTTATTATTCAGTGATATTTCTCTCCACAGAAACGGCTGTTACTGCAAGGAAAGCAGGTCATTCTATGTTTTTTCCATTAGTTTACTAATAATTGTCTTCTTGTGGTTGCAGTCATCGGCTGGTTAAGGGGAATAGATGCTTCTTTATCGGAAATGCATTTGATGCTTTCTCTCAGCGAAATGGTCCACACCACACTCATTACAAACCTAATGATTCAGTGGTCAATAAATGCATTTAGATAAATAATAAATGATGATTTGTTTAAGCAGTTTAAAGGCCATCTCAAAATCATCCATCTTTTGTAAAAAAATAAAAAAATAAAAAAAAATGTTTAGGTATTGCTGGATTTAATCAAAACTGAATGCTTTTCATTCAATGTTCTTTTATAGCATTAGTATGTTTAAATAAGTATGCATAAAAAAAACAAAACAAAAAAAAAACATTTCAATACAAGCATAAGGCCGGACTATGTGGGATAGCAGAAATGTTAAACAGTAGGCTATATTTTCTCTATAGTGTTTACACAGCAGTATATACATAGTAAGATTAAAGGGGTGATGAACTGAGAAATCAAATTTTCCTTGAGCTTTTGACATCTAAGATCATCATTCATATTATAAGAAAATCCTGGAAGTTTCAGAAATGAAAACGAGATCAACCTCAAAGTGTTGTAGCCAAAGTAACAAAGCAAGAGCTTATTTTTCGATCATTGAATAATTCAGTTGACGTCTGTTAAACATACGAGAATAATAACTGTTCTATGGCATTGGCATCCTCTTGAATAAGACAAGCCCCCACGGCACTTGCATTAACCTCCAATTTAAAATGCTGAGCACAATTAGGTGACAATTAGGTCCCACAAAATAATACATAGATTTTCATTTAATATACTGCATTTATACAACTGTTCTTTCAGGTTCTCGAATCTGATTGGCTGAGAGCATTTCCATCAGTGCTATATTCACCCAGTTACAGCACTCTAACCATTTCACCGTTTGTATCACTCCATATTTTTAATTTTCGAAATGGAGTTTAAAGATGTTTTTTGGTGAGAATGTAATTATGTAGACCTCAAATATGTTACAAATAATCATAGTGCTTATTTTACAATTTTTTACAATTCTTTCGCAGATGCGAGCTCCACGCCGTCAACGGCCGTTCAGCGCTCATGTATTCTGTTTTTACAAGTGAGTCAGAACAAAGAAGTTGTTTTAGCACTGTTATGGGAAAGACAGAGACAAACATATTTCTTTCCTTTGCATACATTCAAACTGATTTTTTGGATATAATATTGTGGACATCAACCTGAAGAATGAGATGCTGGTACTACAGTCGTTTAGTCGACCCTTCTCTCATAATATCATAATACTCTACATAAAGTGTTGTTTCTAAAGTGAAGTTTTAGAGTTAGTAACAGAGGCTTGGCCTCAACTGTTAACTCGAGGTTTGAATCTATGGCAGAAGGAAGTAGTTCTGCACAAAATGTGTGTTATTATTATTTTTGTGTGTGGTTGCATTTCTTGGACAATTACTAAATTACTGTTTCAACGTTATCTAGGCTGCTCTGGGACACATGAATTATTTTCAAGAGCAGGTTCAAACACTTATGAAACAAATACCAGCATTTGTTCTCTCATTTGAAATCAGCCCCTGATGGTTAATTTTAATTGGCAGTTGGTCACAGTGCTTTTCAAGATATCTGTCTTCCACTCCATTCAATTATGCTGCAGTCTCAAACATGCCAAGATGTCTTCCTGTCGCTGGAGTTTTCATTAATATAATCCACAAATGACACATTTCCCATCGTTTATTTTTTTTTTTTATTATATAATTATTATTGTAAAGGTGCGGTTACAATGTCTCTTACCATATTGAAAGACACATTTGTACATGTGTGCACCCACTCGTCTTGCCCCTTACATCTGCCTCTCCTACTGTATGCAATTTAGAATTGATTCAGAAACTGCGTTGCTTAGTTACAAGGCTTTATTGCTCTTCTAAAATTGGGGGGTGGGAAGGGAACTCTCTCTCTCTCTCTGGCATGTTTTCTTGCCACCACATGCTATGTAGAAGCCTGTATGGTTCTCTTTCTTTCTTTCTTTCTTTCTTTCTTTCTTTCTTTCTTTCTTTCTTTCTTTCTTTCTTTCTTTCTTTTTCTGTTTAGTGCTGCAGTCAGTATAGTTCTTATATATAACTCTGACAGCAGATTCCCAATTCTCAAACGGCACACTGTTTTGAAAATTGTTTTTTTCCACTCTTCATTAAAATAAAATGAGTTAAAAATTGCCGTTTGATCTTTCTTCAGTTAGCATCTATAATGTAATTTTCTTCATAAAGAAGTCATGAGTCTTCAGTTACATCATATCAGCATGCAAATTATGATTATAGCAATGGCATTATGGATTTCCACAGTTCCACATTGGGAAATAGCCAACTTGTGTAAACTTCAGCATCTGGACCTTTTGGTTTCCAGGTATCTGTATTCTTACACATACATCTTTTTATAGCAGCTCTCACATACAGTAACGTGGTAAAAGATGGATGATAGTGGATGTAACACATACCGAAGCGTCTCTGTCTCAGCGCCTCAGCCTTCCTTTACCTGCTCCTGACTGCTGCCTCAGCTCCTTCCTGAGAAAGAACGCACTCACAAGAGAGAGTGTGAGAGAGAGGGAGAGAGAAAGAGGACTAATGAGGGAGAGAGAGGGGGTGTGTGAGAGGAAAAAGATGCTGAATCCTGGTTGGCTGGAGAGTAGAGGCTGACTCAGTGGATCTGGAAAAGCAGCATGTGACAGATGCAATTCTCATCCCAGTCCTCACCATCAGACCAGAGGCTTGTTCGCCATTGGCCCCGTTCATTGGACCGGCAACGCACGGTGCGCTATAACACCATGCTTTCCTTTGCCAGACCCAGCGGAGCTCTCTCACTAGCGCGTATCACTTGCGCATCGAGCAGGAGACTCAACCCAGACACACTTCAGCCCAGCGCAGAGAGCCGAGACTGAGGAAGAGGAAAGAACGAGTTAGCAGCTCTCCTTTACTCTCGTTTCTGCTGTACAGAAGAGGAGAGAGAGTGGGATAGCGCATTTGCTGGAGGCTACTATAAGAAGCAGAGGCACACCACATAAATCCCCCAAAGTGACTGTAACAGACCGAGCTGAAATGACTGATGTTTGAGGATCCGAGAGGATGAGGGAACCTGCTCGCTCCGTTCCTGACTGAGGGAAAGTGAGCTTGTGCCTATCATCTGAAACAGAGAAACAAAAGAAAAGGCGTGTTGGGTGGACTTATTTCTCTCTCTCTTTGGCTGAACTCTGTGCATGGCAGCTTCGGGTCCCCCATGGCGTGTTACTACATTGTCATCAGCTCCACACACCTCAGCAATGGACACTTTCGAAACATCAAGGGAGTTTTCCGAGGTCCCCTCTGCAAGAATGGCAACAAAAACTTGGTAACTACCACGTCTCCCGTACGAATGTGTGTTTGGTCATGTGCTTACTTTTGAAGCCAGTAATCTTGCCTCTAGAAACTTTTCTGGACTGTGGTAACACTTTACATGTTATACATTTGACTCTAATGAATCATTATTGTAATAATACTGTTATTATTATAGTACAAATCTTTACACCTGCAAGTGTTACCTTAACAAGCTATTTCTACCTACCATACCATACCCCTTTATTTATATAGCACAATTTAGACAAACAGCATGGCAAGGTTACCTGATTTAACCCATAAACATTTACTATGAATTAATGAATTTAGGTTGATTCAGTGATGTAAAATAAGGTTTTTGACTTGAGATGTTACCATTTTTTCAGAGGGATCAAATTGAAAATTATAATGATAGACTAGGCATCCCAAAAGTAATTAAACTATAACAGGAAAGTAAAATGAAGTTGCTCAAGGAATGAACCTTTAGGAAAAGTGTTGCGAAATTACTTTATTTTCAGTACTTCCTGTTTGAAAGTTGCAGATGGAGAAAGCAAAAGCTGCTCTAGCCTGTGCCCATAACTAAATTTCTGACAGATGGATAGGGATGAAATTAATCTCTACTACACAGTCATGGCCTGGGATTTAGTCTAACCATACTTTTACTGGCCATGCCCTCAAAATAATCCTCCTGTTTGTGCTCCCAGAAAACTGCCTATATTTCCGCACAAATACTCCGCTATGAACCCGCTGTATCTAGGACAGCACAAAGGGGAATTTTAAAATAAAATCAGTCTCGGTAAAATATTATTTTTCATAATTACTCTAAGAGCAGTGTGAATAATGTTTTTCAGTTTAATTTAATTAATGCGATTGGCTCCTGAAAGGAAGTATATTTCAAAGCTTTTAAATGTGGAAGTGAAATTTCATACTCTCTTTCACTGCTTCCTTCGCAAGCCTTCCCGTGTCATCTCTGTCAGTTGGGGGGAACAGAGATTTCTTGACAGCAGCCTCCTTCTTTCAAAAGAATCAAAAATGATTGGAGATGAAATATTGAAGCTCTTGGCTCAGGATCAAGCGCCAATCCTGCTCATCTGCCTCCCGCCTCCAGCTGAAAGGCTAATGCTGAGGGAACGTTTGGGTGCATGGCGTAACTATGAATGCAGCAACAGATTGTTTCTCAAGCACGGACGAAAAGTAGAATGTTTCGGTGGCCGTTGTCGGCTCGATCTCTATGCAATTATCAGATTTGACACATCTCCCATTCTGTTGCAGGGAGGTGTCAGTGAACTGTGTGCATCACTGACACTGCTCTGTAACACAGTAAATTCCGTTCATTACTCCCTCTGCTGCATAGAGTAGCTGTAAATCTCATATACTTGGGCACACGCACTCTCAGATGTATCGGTATGAAAGGCAGACTAAGAAAGCTGTGCTTATCCCAGCGCTGGTGCAGTGCCATCTGGCTCTCTTTCCTGGTGCAGTGATATTTTAGTCCAGAAGAAAAGCTTTGTGCTGTAGAACATTTGTTCAGCGTGGCTCAGACGCAGAGGAAAGGAGAGGAGGAAGGATAGGAACGATATAACTGCGAGTATAAGTGTTTGACTTTTGCTTTATGAAATCCATCTCTGTAATTAGTAGTATTGCTCTCCCGGATTTCTCAGCACATCAAAGGGCTTGGTTCAAACAATAATTTTGAGGAGAAAAAAAACCAAAACAATATGTGCGTATCTTTATTGAATGACTTTGACTCTTACAATGTTCTACTTTAGTGGAAAAGAGATTAGAAAATGGCACGAAACCCTGTTTTGAAACTTAAAATGACTTAAAATTATTTTTGGAAGAGAAGCAAAGTACTTTCTATTGTGTATAAATGTCTATAATTTCTTAAATTACTATATTTTATTTTGCTTTGTTTTGCTTTGCTTAGTCCAGATGCGACAAGGCAGTAAAAACATCTTCCTGATGTATTAAACTGAATGAGTTTGGAGCTGTGCCATATCAGCGGACTCTTATAAAGTCAGACGCAAGCGCCTGAGCGGAATTTTGCCCCTTGCTTTAGCTTCCATGAATATGCATATCAACGGGGTTATTTCAACGCTCGTATTGATTTCCTCACAGTCGCTGCTAAGTCAGCCCATCTCCCCGCTGTGCAATGATGTGAGCATCCATTTCCACTCAGTGATGCCACTTTTAGACACCACTGTGCTCTGGGAAAGGATCCTTATGCTGAATATCTATACGGTTTGTATTGTCACAGTGCCTCTATTGGCAGATGCATGGCAGAATGAACAGGTGTTATAATCAGCTCTTGTCCTGATTGTGCAGGGGATCTGGGCGATTGTGTAGATTGGATGTTGCTAACGTGATATGCATGGAATTAAATTTCCTTTGTCGCTCTCATATTCATTTTCGTCACATGTATTATGGTTTTTGTAGTTTGCCGTGATCCTGTGGCTTGCTATCTTCATGCCACCATCCAAAGCACAAAGGTATGTGAAGCCCTAATCACCACTGCATGTGTCCAAGAGCTGAGGCAGCAGCAGACTAGCTTAATCGCAGAGAGTGCCAGACAAAGAGACTAAAACTGAGGGAGGAGAGGAAATGAAAAAGGGCAAAATGTTATTATGTTCCTCTTACCCTTTGTCTTTCCCTGCTGGGAAAGCTTGCCCGACAATTTGCATTGTGGGAGGACAATGTGTACAGTATGTGTGTGCGGACGCACTCCGAGTTCCTTCCTAATTGAGAATTACAGCAGAAACCCAGCTCTTGCCATGACCAGGCCCCGCGCACGAGCTCTTCTGCGGGGTAATTAATGTAGCAGCGCGGGCGATTAGCCTCTGCAACCTTTCGCCGCGTTTTACCTCTCGGCCCCATCCAGGTGTGAGGGAGAAACGAGCGTTTAGATATCGCACCATGCAGCATGCATTATTTACAGACGGGGAGAACCCAAGGCTTGTCATCACTGCCGAATGCAGACAGATGTAGTTAACTTTACGCACGCCCGAGACAAATGTGTGGCACGCTCGCACTCGGCTGATTAAAATTCACTCCATTCGTGGCCTTCTGTTACTCATAAACGCCAGGTTCATTTAAATACCCTGAACGTGGCGTTTTGCTTCTAGTGCTGCATCAATTTCATTTCACAGCACTGTTAACTTTATAACAATGGAATCATTCTCTCTGAACCCCGCAGACACGGTGTTTGTTTCTTTGTGTGTGTTTTGGAGGTATTCACTGTGACAAATCAAATCTCTTGCCCTGGTTGTGTTGTTCTCCTCCTCTCTGCACAAAAGAGGCACGGTGCAGATTCCATGGGCCCTTATAAAAGTGCTAATCCCATGTTTTTTTTTTTTACTGACGGTGAACCCATTTTCACACTGATTCACAGAAAATACCCCATTGAATAAACTGTGTACTTAGAAGGCACAAAGGCACAGCGGGGTTTGACTGTAGGCTTGCTGCTGAGGTATAATAGCACAATTACACAGTAGCGTGGCAGCTTTACCCTTTCTCCTTTCTGTATTCGGCTCACCTGATGTTCGGAGATGAAACGTTTGCGGCGATCGTCAACGCCGTCATTGTTGTCATCTTATACTCATACATATTTAAGTTGCTGGCCACAAGGTCTATAATTTACCCGCTGTTTTAATGCAGAATAAGCGGCTAACTCGGTGGGACCGATCTCCTTCTCCGAAGCGCTCGTCTCAATAAAATCGCTTGAACTTTGCCAGGCAGTTTTCTACGTGTCGGAAGGGTTTTGCACTCGTAAGCAGTGGAGTAAAAATACCCTGCCAGCCCTGAGCTCTGGCCTTGTATAACTGAAGGGCAGCATATAGTGAGGCTTCCTTGCAGAGTTTCTGCCTCCTGAGGGATGTTTTCTGCCATATCATTGTCTGTTACACATCCACTCTGACCCTGAAAGCATACCCTGAGTCTTAAAAGAATTGTTCACCTGGAAATGAAAACTTTGTCATTATTTACTTGTATGTTCATCCAAACCTGCATGCTGTTATTTTATTTTTTTCCTAGTGGAATGCAAAAGAAAAAAAGTGAGAAATATATCTGCAGCTGTTTTCCATTCAAATACATTTCATAGTTACCACAAGCTTCAGAAAGTAGAAGAAAAAGACAACTTAACTTTTTCTTTTCTTTTTTTGTATGGATTTGGGATACATTACATTTATTGACAGTAAATACATTTAAAATGTTATAAAGGTGTAAGAATGATTTCTGTTTCAAATACATTCAGTCCTTTTTAACTATCTATTCATCAAATAACTTTTTTTTATGCAAAAACTATCCCTTAATCACTCCTTATGCTTTTGTGTTCATACTAAATACAGATGCAGAGTGAAATATATAAATAAATGCAGGTATGGGAAGGTACAGGTGCAGCTCTGGAAAGGAGCCCTGTGGTTGTGCCAGTAATTGAACGAGTCCCCATCATTGCTCATAGCCACTCACCGCAATATGAGTGCTGAGAGCCTTTTAATGTTCCTCATTCCTTTGAGTGATATTATAATGCAGAGCAACCCAGCTGCCTCGTCTCACTTGATTTTATGCTCGAAAGAAGTGAAGGGCTCCTTTTCCTCCTTTAAAAAAGTGCTGCACACCGAGCAAGCTTGCAAACACCGAGTAACACAGCGGCAGACCCTGATCTTATTGAGCTTCACCGCTGCCCACCTTAAACTTTACCCGAGCTGATCGCAGGGAAATGACTGCCATTGGACCGTGTTTGAGATTGAGCACAGATGGGGATACAGAGAAAGAGGTGCAGAGAGGGATCTTGAGGAGGTGACCACAGTCTTTCTGATGAGTTAAGTGTGTATGTTTTCACTGAATCTACCTCTCTCTATCTATCATTTTATCTGCCTCGTATTCACATACTTCAGCAAGCAAGGATATTAGAGTTCTGGATACTCGGCCCTTTGTCTTTGACTCAAGTCAATTAACTTATGCTACTCTCATCCTGCTCTTTCATTCTCTCTCTCTTTCTCACTCTGCCTTGTAACATTC